TAATGAAAGTGTCTTTGATTTCACTCTTTACTTTTTTTTAAGGAGCATCTAGTCAGGTAATTATTTAGTTTATTCTCTTTGCACATGTATAAAGTGGGTGCTGAAAAGTTATTGGCTCAACCTGCTTCCTAAATTGACCAAACATCAGAATCTTTTTTTGAAATATTTCTTCTTGTTCTGACAGAACTTTTCAGCAAATTATTTATATATATATATATATATATATATATATATATATATATATATATATATATATATATTGTGTGTATTTAGGCAGCATTTTTTCATTCACACATGTTTCATTAAATAATATAGACAAGTGTTGTCTATTTATTTTACGTAAATTCTTTTCATAACATCTGATAAGCTTAATAACATTATCATTAAACGAAGAAAGAAAATCACAATATTGATACATATTTTTTAATCCAATCTAAGCTTTCGGCTTACATAACCCATTATCAAAGATGACAATTACAATACAATAAATTAAGCAATACAAGAATGTGATGATAGTCTGTTTCTGTTTACATGGATGGTTTCCAAGCAACAATAAACACATGCATATAAGTCGTCATGAGCTGCAGTGTGATTTTTGCTTCCAGCATCTTATATGCACGTGTTTATCATGGTTAGCCAATGGTTATTTTATTGAATAAATTTATTCTTTAGTATTTCAAGATATTTGTGTGTAATTTTGGTAAATATATTTGTTAAAATGAGATCAGTGTTATTTTCATTTTTGCATAATTTAGAAGAAAAATTGGCCATTACACCCTATATATATATATATATATATATATATATATATGGGAAGATATGATATATAAATCTTTATATCTCAGAATAATATTAGGCAGATGAATGACAAAGTGGAAAAAATTATATGTAACACATTTCAACCTCTAAAACAAAGTATAGGGAAACTGAATGAAATTGGATATATTACATGCCCAGAAATCTGAAAAAAATTAAATTAAAAAATTCACTGTTCCTACATCCTCAGCATTTCCTGTCGATATATAATTATGACCAATGTTTGCGTTTTTATAGTCCTTTTAGTACCTGAGCAGATTTCTTCAACAGGGATTTGCTAGCCACCCTAGCAAACAAGCATGTTCAGATATAAGAAGCCAGCTATTATATAAATATGATACCTGTTAATGAATTCAGTACTACTGAGTTGTGTATCTGTGAAACCAAAAGTTGGAAGATAAGTCATTTGAACTTTTATTTATCAATAACTTCTTTTTCTTCTTCTTTATGTGTCGTGTCTCCCTCAGGATGAAAGCAATCATGTTTTCCCACAAATTCCCGTCCTTTGTAACTCCTAATAAATTTACTCTTTTTCTTATTTCTCCTAAACACTTTTCAGCAATCCATTTGCTCAAGTACATTAAGTATGTTATATGTTGTTTTCCTCTGGCCCTCTTAACTTCAATAAGTCCTGTGAGTATCAGATTTTCCAAGTCCTCTATCCTCAATATGTGCTATAGAAATTTCAACTGCCTCTTCCTGCTGTTAACTATTGTTTCCATTTCCTTTAAAATTTTGTCGTTGCTCACATGTTCATTCCATGGTATCCTCAGCATCCTTTGGAGAACCACATTTCTGTTGCTTCAAGTCACTTCTTCATCTCTGAGGAAATTGTCCAGTATTCGATGCCATACAAGAGGACAGCTATCAGGTAACATTTCAGTACTTTTTTCTTTGTTTTTAATCAAGTTTTTCTATTTCTCAATACTCTGCTTAGCTTTTCGAATGCATTTTTTAACTATCCCAATGAATTTTCAGATTTCAGTGCCACACTTTCCATCCTCTGTTAAAACACTTCCCAGAAATGTAATTTTTTGTATTCGTTTGATTTTAGTATCCCTGTTTTGTAATTTGTATTTTGGACTCACCCTTTTGCTAACAACCAGGCATTCTGTTTTCTTGCAGTTGATGTTTAATCCTTTCTTCTCACTTTTCTTCACTACCTTCTGTAGGAGTTTTTGTAGTTTTCTTTCAATGTCTGCTAACAACACAGTGTCACCTGTATATCATATGTTGTTAAGATTATGGCTGCCAATAATAAATCCTGGTAGGACTTCTAATTCTCACACAACTGCCTCACAGTATAAGCTGAATAAGTCTGGTGAGAAGACACATCCTTGTCTTACACCCCCTTTATATTTTTGTATATCTGCTGAGCTGATTTTCTATCCATGTGTAGGCAGTTTGCTATCAGTATAAGTTCTTAATTATTCCAATATCTTTACCAAATGAAAGGACTGGTGCTCCCACTGTATGTCTCGAGGTCCTTGACAAAATCCAGAGATGAATATGCAGTGACAGGTCCCGATATGGCATCTAGTCTACAATCGCTATCCCACAGACATGCCATGGCTTCCCTCTGTCTCTTCTACAAGTATTTTCATGGCAACTTTTCTAACAAGCTACTTTCACTGGCTCTCAGACTACATGAATTTAAATGAGTTACCAGGCAGGCATCTCGGTCTCACCCTTTCACTGTCAAAACGGTTAAATGTAACTGTCTCTTCTGCTCAAACAGCTTCTTCTCCCACGCTTCCTGTCTGCAGAATTCCCTTCCCTTTACTAGCTTCCCCAATCCCCATTCCCCAATCCAATCTTCAAATATTCAAGTATAATGTCAATCGACATCTGACACCCTGAGCTTGTTCCCTGTCCTTCTCTGTATCCTTTCCTCAATAACACCTCTTTACTCTTGTTCTCAATCCTCTGTAACCTCTTGCATGTTAGTGGGGTGAATTGTTTTAAAAAAAACATGTCAAGGTTGCTGAGCAGTTTCTGTTAGATCTTTGTGGCATACTTTATCAAACTCCTTTGTGTCATCTGTAAAACGTTGATACACATCATTTTGTATCTGTATTGCTCTATCTGATACCCTTCTGAGCCTAAATGCAATACATAAAGTGTCTTTAATGAACCCACACTGTTCCTGTCCTATTTTCAGTCTGATTCTGCTGCATACTCTACTTATCAGAACTAAGAATGGTACTTAGCAATCTCTGTTGCAGTAAATTACTGTGTAAGAATTCAGCCCTTAATGAGTGCTCTATTATTGTAATGCTGTGCCAGACAAAACTAAGTTTAGCAATTTTATATATCCAAAAATATATATTTATCTATGGACATATGTATGTGAGTGTTTATATGTGGTAAATACCTGGATATATAAATTCTTTTATACATTCTCACTAGCAAATATAGAATAGGAATATTGAATAATTACGATGATGCTACATGCATTTATTTAAATTTGATTCTACAAGGCTATGTATTTATCTGTGCCTACATCATTATATAAATAAAATATTTTGCTAATGTATTACAAGTTTTTAGCCTTCTGCTCACCAGCCAATACTGAAGAACTTTATTTATTAAACTTTTACGATAGTCTGAAGAATTTCAGTTGGAACAAGACAATTCTGATTGTGATTAAACATTTTGACAGCACAATAGGAATTCTATTCCGTTTTTTTTTTCCTTTTTAGACAAAATAATTTCTGAGCAAATTAAAAAAAAAAAATAAAGATTTGTTGCATTTAATCTTGATTTCATTAAGATTCAAATGATTCTACTAAGAGGAAAAAAATGGAAGTTATCATTCAATTAAGTTTTGATGATTATTAATTAATTAATACAAAATTTCCATTAATTTAACTGGTCAGGCAAGATCAATCAGATCATGAGAGATGAACTCTAAAATAAAATAAATAATATTAAGTCAAAAAATACTTCAACTGACTTGGACAGCAACAGAACTAGTTTTATTAAGATACGATTATCAGATACCAGTCACAAGAGTTATTGGTTAAAATATGCAGTATTAACAAATTACTCCTGGTCCACTTATTATGCACCTACCCTTTCTTAAGGACCAGGAATTGATGAAAACAAGCAAATGTGCATAAAACCTTTTGCTCCAATTTCAGTGAGATTAAAAAACATCGACTAACAAGACTTGTTTAAAATAGACTAGATCTATAAATCAAAATAATTTACAGAAATTTGCAATTGACAAATAACATTTCTACCAAATTTTTTGTATTTGATTAACATTGAAACTGTCAAAGTTAACATGTTAAACGATCATAACAGTTTGACCAAAATCCTTTGTTCTAGTCCAGTGGTTTTCAACCAGGGTTCCGCGGAACCCCAGTGTTCCGCCAGTAAAGCCCAGAAGTTCCACAAGAAGTTACACAAGTACTATCATTGAACAGTAATTTTTAATTCTCCTGTGCAGATATGTGCTAAAGATGAACTTTGTGTGTATCTGTCAAAAACACGACCCAATATTAAAGATTTGTGCAAGAAACATCAGGCTCAAGTTTCTCATTGAATTTTTAATGAAAATAAACTTTAAACTGAATTTTTTTCATACATGTGTAATAACCGTAGAAACAAGATTAAAATTGCATATGTACGTCTACAATATTTTTACAATTTGACTTTGTATTTTTTTGTAAATAAATCTGAAGATGAGTATTTTTATTTTATTTTAATAATTGAAGCTGTTTTTGCATAAGACAATTTATTGCAGGGGTTCCTCCAGCCACTGGAATGTTTCCTTGTGGTTCTGCTCCAGCAAAAAGGTTGAAAACCACTGTTCTAGTCACTCATTGTCTTGCTTTGTTTGTTTTCACCTGGCTCCTTATCGTCACTTACCATTCAATTTTTGTTCTTGTCACTCTACTTCATACTGTCTCTTATCATTCCTTTATTGTCCTGTTCTTCATTTTTGTTTGAGCCATCCTCTACCCCATTGTCTCATGTATGTGTCTGTTTGTTCCAGTCACACTGTAATACATTGTCTCCTGTACTTTTTTCTTTGTTATAGTCACTCTGTACTTCATTGTCTCCTCTCATTACTTGTTTGATCTATTCACTCTGCTCTTGTCATTTCTTGTTCATTCTTGTCACCCTGTACATTATCTATTGTCCTTCTTTTGTTGTCCTAATAGACATGCACCTCAATGTCCCTCATAATTACTTATTACCTGTCTCCTCTTATTGCTTCTTCACTCTATTCACCCTGCTCCTCATTTTCCCATCCCTTCATTCTTTGTTCTAGTCACCCTGTACTTAACTGTCCCTTGACCTTTTGTATTCTAGTCATCCTGTATCTCATTGTCTCTTATCCTTCTTTCTTTTTTCTTATACCCATATACTTAATTGTCTTCTGTCTTTGCATCTTTGTTCCCATCACCATGTATCACATTCCCCATTGTCCTTTGGTCTTCTGTCTTCTAGTCACCCTGTCTCCTCTCCTTATTTGTTTGTTCAAGTTATCCTGCTCATCATTATCCTTGTCCTTTCTTTGTTTTAGTTATCCTTTACCTAATAATCTCCTATCCTTGTTTTTTTTCTTTTTATCTATTAACCCTGCTTCTTATTGTCTCTTGGCCTCCTTTATATGTTTGTATCACCTTGTCTCCTCTCATTACTTTTTTGGTTTTTTACTCTGCTCTTCATTGTTCCTTGCCTGTAGTTCACTGTGTCTTAACCTTCTGCATTCTTGTCACTGTTTAACTCATTATCCTTTCTTCAACTTTGACCTATTTACCCTCTGCTCCTCATGGTTTTGCAGTGAGTCCCAATAAAAAAAAAATATATATATATAAACAAAATAAAAAGAATTTAAATTAAAATAAAGCATTTGCGCTTTCCTTTAAAACTCTTATCTCTTTCTTTCTCTCTATAAACTTCTCTTTTTATACTTCTTTCAGCCTATGAGAAAGCAAGCCTCAAATAAAAAGAAGAAGAAGAAAAGACTGAACCCAGCTGCAAAATACCAGAAGGAGCAAAGCCTACTTATTTGTAACTGACAAATACCAAAAATCATGTAGGCTCCATGCATAACTTCCATTATTAAAAAAAAAAAGAAAAATAAAGGAATCCCAGAAAATAAAATAATTTTGGCCAATCAAAAAATTGATACAAAGAGACTTTTGATGCTAGCTGAAACCAATGTTTGCACCAGAAACTCAGAACATGGTCAAAAGTCTATAAACTGACACCTCTGGGCTAGAACCAGAAGGAGGGTGACAGAAGAAAAGAGATGGTCAGAAGATAAACGAAGATGCTACCACATAGAAACCAGCTATGTATGAAGGAGCTGTTAAGAAATCATCTGCTAATTATATTTCTACCCTGTTTAAGGCCGAGAAAAACACTGTAGATTGACACTGACCTATTTCTAAGATTACTACTATGCCTATCATGGTCTTACTTCAAACTACTAGTAACAGACATTTCTCCAGACTGCTACCAATATCTGCCTTATTAATGAATTTTTTGTTATGTTGAATACCTAGGGACTCACTAATCACTTTAAAGAAAATAAATATTTATTATTTATTATAAACCCTTGAGTCAGTTTGTTTTATTCCTAAAGTTTTGATAAAATACATCACCAAGAATCACTGCCATATTGGTGAACCTGACATGATGACATCTACCACAGTTTCTTTTCCTTCTTTGTTGTACTGATCTTGTATCTTTCTACTGTTCTTGCTTCTTTTTTCTACTCACCCTGTACTTCAATGTCCCTTATCCTTCCTTCTTTGTTTTAGTTACTTTGTCTTCCCTCATTGTAAACTTTGTTCTGTTCACTTTGCTCATTATTGTCTTTTGGCATGCTCTGTTCTAATCACCTTCTTCCTTACTGTCCCTTGACATATATATTACTCCCAAGTGTAATAAATTATTCAAAATTAATTGTCCTTTTCAAAAAGCTAAGAGTTATGTCACATACTCAAGAAAATCATTATTATAAATTACCACATTTTTCTATTTCACTGCTTTGTTTCAAATTTTGGAAATTTCAAAGTTCTTTAATTGAATTGGAAAGAAGATTTGCTATGATGAAAGCTCAGTCAGAATGAGCATATAAATAACTGGTGGGAAACTCTAAAATACAGCAGCCATGAGAAGTCAAAAATAACGTTTATATTTAAAGGAATCAGCCCAACTATGGGTGAAATAGTAGGGTAGTTTGGGCTCTCTAGCTAAGGTTAGCAACCAGGCTAGAAAAAGGACAACTTGTAGTAAACTACTGCATAGGACAAAGAAGCCCAGGGTTGCATGCATTTTTTGCAATGCTAGAAGAAAATGACTTACCTCCAGGGCAAACACAGATTCATGCTCACATGTAAACTGTCCAAAAAGGAAAGAAATTGCAGCTTTTCGAGTTACACATTTAAAACAGATTGATCCCGGAGTCAGATACTTTCTTGTGAGATTATCTTTTCACATATGTAAATTTTTGCTCTGAATGTGAAGATAAAAATAGGGAGAACAAGGTGACAGGCAGAATGGTTACTGTTGTGTCAAACAAGCTGCACTTGTTTTGGTCAGTGTGTTTGAGAGGAAATGGATTGCAGGAATTGTTTGCAAGGAAAGAAATGAAAAGTTTATAACCTTTTATCAACACAACTTCAAATTCAAAATCATAAATTTTGCTGAGATGATGTTTCTGGAAGAAACATTCAGTTACCTGAAGCTGTATAAACATTATTAGGAATGGGGTGCTGATAATATATTTGTAAAACATAACAGGATAGATTTTAACAACTATGGATAATCCCAATGAAGAGTGATTATCCAGAATACAGTTGACACCAATGAGCATTGGATCAAAAGAAAATAATGAATAAAGTATTGAAAGGAAGCATCGGAAAAGTTAAATGAGTGAAAGTCAAAAAGTGACTGCATGTAAAAATGCTTTAGAGAATTGTTTGTTGAAACAATTCTATCAACTTGTCTGACTAAGAGATGAGACCATCTTAAGAGTGATAATTAAAAGACACTGAAGTCATGGAAGTCTTGTTAGAGGGTAGATATGAATTTACTGATGTCTTCAGTTTTAGTAAGGTGCCATTTCATGGAGAGATCCACTTCTTTATCAAAGAAATCATATTAAATATTCTTGTGATTACACAGAGAAACAGTAAGTCAGTTACAATTGGAATTAAGGACTACATCTCAGAGAAATTACACCATGGAGTAATGGATAGTGGCTCGGATTGAGGAATCAGACAGCTAAGTTTGAATACCAGTTGAATCCATTACATTCAGTTACATGCTAATACCCTTGGGAAAGGTATGAATCTTTTTCTTCTCCCCTATCTATGGGTAAATAAGAAGGGCAGATCAGATTCTTTAGCATTGGATGGCAACTGGTCTATCACAGAAAGAAATGGAAATATACTGCAGGAAAAAAATCTGCCTCGTCAGTCATGTATTGAAAGATACATGATTGCTTAAGTGTTTATCACGCATGGCACATAACTGACTGACATGACACAAATTAAGATCCATAGGCAGAAACAATATCTATTTTTATTTAAAGAAAATAATTTATTCTTCTAATTTATGCCTTTAAAAATGAACATTTTAAAAAATATATATTTACATATAATATATAGAAATAAATTTTTTATTCTTGCTCTCCTTGTTTTAATATATATCTACTTGTTAATGCATCCAGATCCGCAATTGCAGAACAACTAATAAGTAATCTAATTTGTACCTCATCAATCATTGACAGAGCATATTCAGATTGCCATTTCAAAGTACTCCAGATCCTTTATATTAAACCTAAGCAATCTTCCATCTCTAAGTAGAAAGAATGGTTGATGGGTTTTAATGGAATCTGTTTGTAACTCATAGAACTGATTTTCTGGTATTACATTTTTGTCTCTCTCAATTTTAGTCATTGTACACAAAGTTGTATTTTTGTCCTCAGTTGAACTCTGAAGAGCAAGGAACAGTAACTGGTTAGTTTTTTTAAGTTTTATTTTTGTTATAAATTTTGATTTAGTACTTAACTTTAAATAATTTTTCCTTTGCTCTTCCTTCCTTTGTTTTTAAACTTTCCTATTTCTTAACACTCTGCTTAGATTTTGGAAGGTATCTTTTGCTATCGCAATGTGTCTTCAGATTTCATATCAAAATCTGGTTGGTTAAAAGGCTCAAAATAATATAGATAAGTACCTTGCCAAGGAGGCATAGTGGAGTAATGAATCAGAGAGCTGAGTTTGAATTCCAGTTGAATCCATTACATTCACTTACGTACTAATACCCTTGGGAAAGGTATGAATCCTTTTCTTCTGCCCCCAGCTAAGGGTTAATAGTAGGACAGGCCAGGCTCTTGAATGCGACTGGTCTACCGCAGAAAGAAATGACAATCTACTGTGGGAAAAAATCTGCTTCGTCAGTCATGTATCAAAAAATACATGATCACCGAAGCGTGTATCATGCATGGCACCTAACTGACTGAGCTTACCAATCCCCTACTCATAAACTATTTCCACTTTTATATCTGAGGTTGGAACAGACCGATTAAATCAACATTTATAAATCTTTACTATACTTTCAATAGGCAACATCATGAAAAAAAATTTAAAAGTTGACAGTCGTTTACAAAATGGTAACAATATTGCTTGAAGTCAATCTTTCATTCTCTACCTCGCTCTCTCTTATGTAGAGCATACCTTCGAGGAATCAACCACCCACTTTGTATATTTAAATTCCTGGTCTTGATTACTGTTTAAAATTCTTTTTAAGAATTGCTTATACCATCCTTTTTCCTACTGTTCATTTACATTTTGTTTTCTACTTTATATTATTCACCACTTTCTTTCATTTGTAGTTTTTTCTTTGGCCGCCATTAATCTTTTGCATTATGTTGAGAAAAAAATGTCTCTCTAAAAATTGAATTTCTGCAGGTAGTGAAAAGACAGAGAGATAAATTGATCTTCATTTCATTTTCCTCTGAATTATCAACTGAATTATTTTTCTATTTTTTGAGAAGATTTATTCAATTAAAATATCCCAACTGTCTAAAGTCAGTTTTTCAAAGAGGCAATTTTTTTTTAATTTCAGTTTCTCTTTATTTAATGACTTCATAACTAAATTAAAAGACTCACAGAAAAATATTCAATAAACTAATGTTATATTGTCATAAATCAGTGATTAAGGCAAAGAACAGTTATTTAAGAGGTCTCTTGCCTGACCCAAAGTGCTTGGTTGGTGAAACTGCTTATCACATTTTAATATTCAAGCCCCAAAACAAACTTCATATCAACATGGTTTATTATACTAACACTTGCTGATGTAATTCAGTGGGCAGAACATCTCTTTATGGTTTGATACTTTATCTCTAGTCCTTCTAAAGTGAAGCTCCTTCCCACATCTCATCCATGTAGTCAGATTAAGAATTTTTGAAGTAATAAATTATTTTGTCAGATAGCTCATATGGTAATGGTAATATTATGTTTCCTTATAAGGAAACATTCAGTATTCATTGACTCAACAGCCAGCAATTTTTTAAGGGAAATGGTTTCTCAAGTCCATGAACTATTACTGCTCTTTCTAGTATTGATGACAGTTTCCTTCCTAACCTTTTGTTTGAAGTAGGGTGGATTGCCAACATCTAGATTATAAAATTATTTTCTCTTCAAATTACATTTAATATCCATTTTAGTTATTGTTGTTGAAAATTTTCAAGTGGTGTGATTTCTGTTATTTGGTACAGTTCCTTGTTTGTGATTCTATAGCACCAGTCCACAAAGTTTGAAGAAAGA